AGGACATATTATAACTATCTATTTTGCCAATATATCTGATAATTCCACTTTATAATTTTCGAATGATCACTTGTCAAAGTCTTTAGTTATGTCACTGACACTTGCAGATTACTAAAACTCTAAGGTATTTTGAGCAACATCACAAACATTTTTTTTTACATTTTAGTTAGCGTTTAGCCAATAATGGAAGGAAAAAATTAAAAAAAAACCCGAAATTTCATTATTCATTAAACTAAATGAAAAATAATGATTATTAAAAATTAGGCATTCAATTAACGTATCGCGTTTATAGCTGATGGACTTACCCGAAAAAAAGGAGGATGACCTATAAAAAGAAATGAGATCCCATCACAAACATAAAACGAAAAAAAAGGCCAAGTCCAACATCGCAGTTCTTCCTTTACAAAAGTTAAAATCATGTAAAATCAAATCAGTATCATAATATAAAAAGTAATCAACATACGTACATAATACATTGTAATACCAATGAAGTAACGATAGAGATCAAAGGTAATGATCAAAAGATGATGATATATCTAATAAGACATTATTATATACATATATTTATAATATTAGGTGATACATTAACATAGTATTACATATAGAATATATTGAATATAATTATGAAAACAAATAATCAATTACTGTTGCCAATTCTACGTGATTGACAATGATTACTGAGTCTCCACATCCTATTGAAAACATTGTTAATCCCAGTTACGGTAATGAAGGTAATTGGTTAAAATTTCTATTCAAACTTTGTATTGAAATTGATCATTTCAATATCTTATCGACTTTAGCTCCAGTCATTCGCGTTGACGTTTCTGAAGACAAGATAGAACAACACACATAGAGAATTACATTGGCGTACATTGATGCAGTGATTGCATTCGACCGTGTATAGTGTATTCGCTTGTTGGCGTTCACCATAAACAATGGGGTTTTAAATTCGAGTGCGTTTAAAACTTTGAAACAGCTACGTATCTATCTGGAAATATATATTTTCGTACAGGGGATCTGTTTATTAAGAATTAACAAGAAAAATAACTTCACAATTTTTTTTTATAAAAATGGGAACTGAATTGTTTCAAGGGAGCAAAGCCGCAGGCATGGCTAGTTTAATAAATAGAGATTTGAAAAGCACATACCATTTAAATATTACCTTTATGACTTGAACAGTGCAAGTACTTTTATCACATAATAAAACTCCTACCTCACTTTAATTGAATACTTTGTGGAAAAAAAAGGAGAATTCTAAAAGATCAAAGGTACGCTTTAAAGGCAATAACTTTGTTTAAGTGTGAATAATTTTTTATATAAAACTCTGTGGTAAATCTCCGTAAAGCAACATGCGTTCGCGTTTTATGAATGAGCATTAAGTGTAATATATGTGAACACAGACGTGAAGGTGCTGAATTTCCCTATTCAGTAACGTGAAACGGTAACGTTGTATATTCCAAGATAGCATATACATCCTGTATAAATTATTTGCTTATTTTGTAGGAAATACGCGCATAAAGCACGCAGCACCTACGGGCCACAACACCGGTACACCTGTAAATAATTTTAATTTCTGTGGAAATTAATTAATTAATCAGAAGCCGCAAAACGCTGAGGCTTGGCCCCTCCCGCCGTCGTACCTACATAATGAAATCGAGCCGGTTTCATTTCCAGCTATGGATCCTATTAGTTGCCAAGATCTATAAAATTACCGATTCTGTTAAATGTATTTGTTTATACATATACATATATAATAATTCAACAGTACATTATCTCCTTATTCATAAAACTAAAACCTTCTGCGAACCTATTTTAACTAATATAAAAAATAGGTATAAAATATCTATTATATACACACCTTACGTCTATGTACTATAAATATAAAAAATAAGTCCTTATTGTATCGGTGTATTAAGTCTATTTTTATAACAAATTCGTTTTTCTTTGAAAAATATCAAGTTCTGTCGTGAACCCCCCTACCAGTATACCGGTGAAGGATAAAATGTTAAATATTATAAACTGTTTGTTGCAAAGGAATATTTACATGTTAATACGCAGAAATGTGTGTTTACAAGTAGAGTTTTGCATCGCAACAACAAGTTGCTCTCCGAACAAGAACGGCTCTTCATTAGTCACAAAATTAATATGGAATTAACGTGAAAATGTACTTCTTGGATTACAAAAAGAATTGTGACATTGAAATTTGGTTTAAATTTCGATACTCGTCAATACTAATATATTTATTTGATTGTTTGTAATAAACATAAAAATTACTTAGACTTATATAGGTATACACTATAAAAAGTTTTAAATTGATTTTCTAAATTCTTTTACTTACAGAACGCTACATCATCAGCAAGTAATCATCATCATCATCATATCAGCCCTTAACTATCCATTGCTGAACGTAAACCTTCCCTTTGGGGGTTTTGCTAGTAGTTACCACGATTGGCAGGTGGATTGGCAACCGCAGTTAGGCTTTAGAGATGTTTTAAGAGGGACGCTGCTGCCCATCCCTCGCCGTCCCTTAGTGTCTTTTACGACACCCACAGGAAAGGAAGGTGTGGCCTATTCTATGCCGGGACCACACGACCAAGCAAGTAATATAAAGTTATATATTATTTTAGTAAATTACCTTTATATACTATCTACCAGCCAGTGCGAAGCCGGGCCGAATCGTGAGTATTTGTCATATTATCAAAAAAAATAACATGCAGACGAATTGAGAATCTTTTAGTTTTAAAATTTTATTTCAAAATAATAATTTTGAATTAAGTATATGCTGATCATTTTGCATTATATTGGACACAGAAATAGATGGAAGTAATTAATTAAGTATTTACAATCCACAATATCAATTTTAATTTGAAAATTTAGTTTCCGTAAAATTTTATTATAATAATAACAAATACCATACTATCACAATAATTGGTTAATTCTAGCATTAATACACTCGTATCGTGCAATACGCGTGCTAAAACAGCGCACTTACAGCTGTGAACATATTTCATAATATTCCGACGCGAGCTGATTTAAAAAGTTCATTACAGTATTGTATTTCTGGTAAGTATTTATCGGATGCATTGAAATGTTGCTGGGGAACCGTATATTGCAATTTTCTTGATTACCTCGTTGGTGTTTTTAAACGAACAAAATAACTCTTATGTCCCAGTGTAAGTACGTTGAAATCCAAGCTACACAGGAGTCATATTAGGTACCTACTTACGAATACGTATATATAGTTTAAGAGTACTTTTTATACGTATTGGAATATCAAACAAGCTGGCTGCCCCTCTAACGGAATGTTCAAAGGAGGATCCGTTCACTAGAGTAGGTATAGATAAAATGATATTCATTTTTCTATGACTGCAGTTGTGTTTTCTTGAATTTGTTTCGGTTTGAAGGGTAGGATATGGCAGTGAATTTACAGGGTACAGAGGAATAACACCTGAGTCCTCAAGAGCGGAAACGCATAGGGAGTATCATGGGCGAAACAGTATACTCTGTTTTGTTCATGGTACTGCTCATGTCTATAGGCGACGGTTACCATTTTCCATCAGGTGGGCCGTCAGCTTGTTTGCCATTCTAAGTTGCATAAAAAATGTTGCAAACATGGACAGTAGCATGATTATTACAAAAAACACTGAGTGCATTACAAATCTACTTCCGTAACCTGTTATTTCATTGCCGTATCCCACCCTTCATACTGAAACATACGTGTAAAAGAAAGACCCTTGATAGCAAAAATGCGAAGGGAGCAAAGGCGTCCAAGTAGATAATATTTGTACGTCTTTGTACTTTCTCTGGTACTTAGGGACAAAAATAGCAAATAATAATATTATATGAATTCCAAATAATGTTGATATATCGTATAGAAATGTTATTTTTGTCTATTTCATATTTATTGTAGTCACAAGTCTTATAATTGTATATACCTATATTGTTTATCTTTCTTTGTATATTTAGTAGATAATCTTGCTTTTTTTAAGCCTTTTTATTGATACTTGTGATATATATGTCGTGCATAATAAAAGAGAAAGAAATTGCTTTAATAATAAATTTGAGATATTAGTCCGCATACAAAAAATACTTCTGTTTTTTTAGGAAGACACTTCAAAAGGTTTTGTAACATATTATTTTTGTTTCTTTAATTATATTTTGTAATTAGTTATATATTTAGATTATTTAATAGCTATGCTATAAAAGAAAATATATCAGATTTTGAAGTGAATCACTTTAAATGGGCCGCGACTGCTTTTTAATTACTCTTTCATTCACCATTATGAGACTTCAAAAGCAGAAGTTTCTTTGATTTACCAGTATTTTTTTAAAACCAATCTTACTCGATATCTTCGCCAATTTAAATCAAAGTCGTGATATTATTTCTTTTCTAAATCAACTTTTATAATTATCTTCCGCGAGGGTCCCATATTTATTTTATCCCTACTGAAGTTATTATTTTTTGTAAATTAAATTAAATGAAATTAGATATATTTTTTTTATCTTCCTTTTCATGTACAAATTTAAGGTAATTTTTATGTTATAAATATATAATATCTATTATGCAAATTTCATCTCATTATATAGTAAAGTATATTTTCTACTTAATTTTTGAACGACCTGGCATTTTTCCAACGAAATAAAAGGCCAAATGTATCCTTCCTATATGTTAAACAAGACACTATATCATCGTTATAAAAAAATATTTTTTAATTTTACTTCTGGTACAACATTTTGAAAAAACGATGTCACTATAAACAGCTACTATGAGGTGGCTCGTATGTTTTCTTGTCATTGAATCCTTAATAATATTATATATGTAAAATGAGTTTGTTTGTTTGTTATTTCTAGACGTCTATTCAATCATCATATAATTTGGTATAAATGTACTATATAGGGTCGAGAAGGAGATGAGCTACTTTTTAAATCGGTCCATGGAAATATCCCGTTTATATAGACGAAATTATGGCAAGTAGCATATAAAAAAAAAAAAAAAATACCTTATGTGTGTGTGTATATAGTAGGAAGTGTAAGCGGCAAGTCGGGACAAGTACGTAGCACCACTCCCACCGTATCACTGTGAATTGTCGAGCCCCCATAGCAAATTATCAAACAAACATGTTTGTTGCAGCACGAATTAAATCAATCGTCATTTCAGTAAATGGCTGGCCGGCCGAAACGAGAATACGAGCAAATGATATTATGTATCGGTATAACTAAAGCGAATCAGTTAATTCTTTTTTTAACAAGCATCTTTATATAGAAAAAAAGGATATAGCTATAACCAAATTGGTCAAACGGCCAAGTATAGAGTTTTTTTTTTTTTTACAACACAGGGGGCAAACGAGCATGCGGCTCACCTGATGGTAAGTGACTACCGCCGCCCATGGTCACCCACAACACCTACGGCATTGCAGGTGTGCTGCCGGCCTTTTAAAAAGGAATATGCTCTTTGAATGAATAGTTACGTTACTAGTTATCTCTCCCTTATAAATAGTTCGCTATTTTTTATTACAAATAATCACTAGAAAATATAGAAAATTGTTAAATTTCTTTTAAAAATTTACAGAGAATTCTGATGATGCTACACTTCAGCAAGCTACGAAGAGGATACGAACTCTTTTAAAGCTAAAATAAAGTGGCATATATGTCGAGAGAGATATAAGTCACTTTAAAAATCTACGAACTATCATAAATTTAATTTGATCCTTCAATTTACTACTTTAGCTGTAGAGAGTGAGTAATTTTATCGAAACTGTACTTATACAACGGACTGTGCTCAGAGGAATCGTTCAATATGATGCCCACGGCTACTTTCTACCATCGAACAGCTCGCCATCGACAGGGGGATCATCCCCATACCTTAGTGTCACCTCACCTGTTTCACCTCAGTGGTATTAAGAAAAAAAAACATTTTTCACTTTCTTTGCTCACTGGATAATAATGTATTGGTTCAATAACATGTATCTATATTGATATTTACTTAACAAAATTGTAATAATATAACAATATTGCAGTAGTTGTTTATTCTCAGTGGATCTTAAATATTTTATTATGAAGCATAATTTATGATTGGAAATAGTAAATCTAAGTCAAACACAATAAAATTAATATTCTACAATGTTTAAAATAATGTTATTTTAAAATAAGTAAGATAATATTTGGATTATGAATTAGTTTCGAGTTGTTGATTTTATAAATAACTACTACTTCCTTTATAATTTAACCAGAGGGAGACTTTGTACAAAAGTCGATCGCTTGGGTACCTCTGTCCCATTCGTGTTTCTACCGTGAAGCAGTTGTGTTTGCATGGCTGTGTTTCGGTTTGAAGGGTGGGATATGGCGTGAATTTTCTGGGTACAGAGGAATAACACCTGAGTCCTCAGAAATAGAAACGCATGGGGGGTATCATGGGCGAAACAGTATACTCTGTTATGTCCATGGTACTGCTCATTTCTATAGGCGACGGTTACCACTTTCCATTAGGTGGGCCATCAGTTTGTTTGCCATTCTAAGTTGTATAAAAAAAAAGCAGAAGTAGATATAAAGTCAGCCTGTTTTAGTTAGTTTAGAATATTGGAAAAAATGAAGAAATGACATAAATTATAAGTAATTAACTACATACGTGTGTCAAAATTACAAATAAGTTCGTATTTCATGTATAGAGTATACATGAAATACACTGTTATGTCCATGGTACTGCTTATGTCTATAGGTGACGGTTACCACTTTCCATCAGGTGGGCCATCAGCTCGTTTGCCATTCTAAGTCGTATAAACAAAATGTGTTTGCAAAAAAACCTAGTCATCATATGTACCGCTCTAACGTTTTAGAAAAATAAAATCCTTACATCGCGTCAGTCCTTCTGTCCGCATGTCATATGTGTATATATGTATATATATATATATATATATATAAAATTTATCTGCACCATTGCTCACAATCTTTGTAAATTATGAATGTAATAAAGAATATAAAAAAAAAAATACTGTACCTTGTAAAACATGATGGCAAAATAATGTAATACAACTGCAAAAAAAAGAATGTCTCGATGTATTGTTCTTTAAATTCTTCTCTCAATATATAAATAATTCGAGTGATGAATGTAGTAATGAAAAGATTATTTTAACAAAAATATTAAAATGGAACTAAATCAACTATGGAACCAACACCCAGCAGCAGTATTTCTGAACAGATAAAACACTGAAACTTTCAAGAAAGAACGTATTCCTTTCTAAAAGACTTACGATTTCTCTGATAATGCGGGTTCTTATGGGCGGCGACTTATTACTACTATCAGGTGAGTAGTATACTCAGGTGAGTATCATAATAATAAGCCATCAGGTGAGTAGTATACTCACCATCAGGCTGTTGGTGAGTTTTCTCTCTATGTTTAGAATACAAAAATAAGTTACTGTCTAGACATTTAGTAAAAACTATGATATGTCTGCAACATCAGTTTATTTGTAATAAAGCCGCATACACAAGTATACGTTGCATACATTTTCACTAGAAAAAGTAGCCTTGTTTACAAAACTTTGCATGGAAAAAACATTCTGTTATTTGGGACTTATTATATATATATATATATATATATATATATATATATATATATATATATTGGTTATAATAAGTGTCTTATTTAACGCTTTTATTAGCATAAATCGAAACATTTGGACATACTATATCAACAAGTACCTATATTTTGCTCCACAAAATAGCTAATTTAATCATGAAGTTTTTTGTAGAGCAAAATCTGTTTGTTAATTTAATTAACTAAAATAATACAATGTAGACAACCTCAAATGCATTGCAAGGAGTCAGAGGATGCAGGTGGATCAAGACCTGTTACCTATGACAGACTATGAGGAAGGCCTTTGCCCAGCAGTGGACAGATAATGGCCGAGATGATGATGGTGATGGTGACACAACTCTGAGTATTAAATATTTTAAAAATAAAAATAATCTTGTTTTTAATCCATAATCTATAAAAGTTCATAAAATACGAGAACAAGTCAAATAGTATGAAAATTAAATGTTTCTCTCAAATTTAAGCACTTATTAATTATCTGCCAGTATTTAATTGTTTCTTAGTACCTGTAAATACTTAATTACAACATTTTACTTAAGTAGTTTAATTTATTACACGATAACTATAATTCTCTTCAAACAAATTTATTTATTCCAAACACTATTTTGATAACTATTCTAAATATCCAATGATTTAACTCCTATTTTCATGATACCTATAACGTAATAAGTTTTAAAATGACACATTCGTATGCAATTTGATGTATCGAAGAAGTTGTGAGTCCACTTGTTTCTATAGTCATGAAGTACCAGTAGACGTCACAAAATATACTGTGACGCATATTTCTCATATTTTTCTCATTGCGATTCCCGAGGACTATGTTGCTATGCCTCCGTATCCTGTAATTTCATTGCCATATCCATATTGCCACACCTTTGAAACCAAAACACAAAACTTGTGAAAATTGTATTCAATTAATTTGGTATTTCATTTTCAATTTCGTAATGCGAGAACAAACATATACAAAAAAATGTATTAAAACCCCTCATATATTTTATTTTAAAATATCACCCTTTTATACAGCGACTAGTTAGAATTTTATTACATTAATAAGTTTTTATAAGTTTTCAACCATTAAACAAATGAGAATGTGCTCTGAAATGTATGTCTTATTGTATTACCAGCTATAATTCACGCGTGTATATATTTTTCTCTTCACATACATGTATATTTTCACATATGTAAGTGATCATAATTTTCACATAAGCCGCGTGGTCTCGGTATAGGATAAGTCACCTCTTCCTATCTCGTGGGTGTCGTAAGAGTCGACTAAGGTTGGGCTTGGGATGGGCAGCAGCGTCCCTCTGAAAAATATCCCAAAGCCTAACTGCGGTTGCCAATCCGCCTGCCAAGCATGGTAACTAACTGGCGAAACCCCCTAAGATGGACGCTTATGTTCAGTGGATAGTTAAAGGCCGAAACGATGATGATAATTTGCACATGGAGATTTATTTGAATTAGTTAAACATGCGGGTAGGTCATAAATAATGAATAATCCCTTTACCTGCAACGGACGGACTCAAAGTTCCGTAATATTATCAAACAATGCAACCTCAATTCAATTATCGGGTTGATTTTTTTTCGAGTTTTTCTTTAATAAATAATAGCTTTGAGAAAAAAATTGGTTACCGTGTCGATGAAAGAATGTAATTTTTTATAAAAGCAAATTATTAATATTGAATACATTTTTGTTAATGTTTTCCCAAAAAATAATATTGAGAAGACTGAATGCACAGGATCGGAATTTTATAAATAAAAATGTCCCTTTTTTCATTTATAGAATTCAGACTCATTTTAAGAATTGAACATAAATAAACATATAATTTATGGCGTAAATATTTTTTTTTTAACTAGCGATTCGCTTCGGATTTGCATGGCTTTTTTTAATGAAATAAGAGTACAATAGTCAATGCCTATGTTAATCATAGATTATATAGATAAATGAATGTTTAAATATATTTAAAGTTTATCTATTCGAAACGGAAAATCAAACCTTTCTTGTAACTATGTATAACTATTTAAAAGTTTGAACTTTTAAATCCGGTCAGGTGGTTTAGTACAGGCTTTTAATATTGAGTTTTCCTTTGTTTTGTAATGGTATACTGAGCATTGAACTTGTAATCGTCTCTTCTAATCAAGAATAATCCAAAAAATATAATATATATAATATAAAAATTAATAAGAAATGCTCCACAATGATATATTATACTAACGATCCGCCGTGGTTTCACACGAATGCAATATTTGTTTATGTAACTTTCAAACTGTTGAACAGTTTTCAATACTTTTCGAAACATTTGCCATACTTCGGTAAGGATGGTATTTTGGCATATGTGAAAGTACTGCACTAATACTAATAATAATAATAATATAAGATTATAAAATGAACGGCCTATTTAGCAAATTGATATAGTTTTTATATATTTTTATACGCACGTTTATTTAGTTCTTCCTGCGCCCCTCACCTCCGCGCCCCGT